ACTGTCTCTGTTTTAGTTCTGGCCCCTTTTAGCCTCAAGTCTTTATCAACACCCCAATTCCCAAAATGCCTCCAAACTTCAAGGATCTCTCCATTCACAAACACTGTTTCCTCAGGGTTTAGCTTTGATACTGATACGTAGACAGTAAGGCCCCACCCATCGGCATTAAGGTCTTCCTTAATGTTCCCTTACTACCTGGAATGCAGGGACCACGTCCTTACGTCTCTTTGTCCCACACAGGACTTTGTGAGTATGTGCACACACACACACTCACTTAACAAATGTTCGCTAAAATAAGGAACTTTACTACCAGGACAATTTTTCATTTACTTTCTAAGAACTGAGAGTTAATTTAGGCATTTAAAATAAATCAGTGGCAGTATGCATTTTCAAAATGCTATTGGAAATCTCACCCACTTTTATTAATTCTTACTACTGTACAACTTTCTCACTAGCAGGAACTGGGAACCCTCCCTGGCTCCCCAGTATAGGACAAAGCTTGCTCTCCTAGGCTTGGCCCATGCCTGGTTCTTCCGCTGTGTGCTTCCTCACTAGTCTGAGGTTAAAACTGATCTGAATACACTTTTCTTCTTTGTCCCTCTCACTAGACTGGGGGCCTCTCCAGGGCAGGTGTGTTTCTTTCATGTTTATTTCCACAAGCTGGTATAATTGGCACAAGGCTGCCACACAGGAAGTACTTGTATGAATGGGTGGAACTCACATTCATCAAATTTATAAAAAGTGAAATTCTGGGAAAGAGTACAGATTAGCTCTCCAATATATAAAACAGTCATGAGTATCATTTTTCTCTAATACTGAGGGTAAAAATATTAGTCCTGTACAAACATCTTGTCATTTATGAAGCAATGGAGCCTTTTTCCAGGTCCATTTTATACAGGATTAGACTGTAATTAGGTTAAATTAAGAGATATTACACTAATAGTTAATTAAATAGAAAAGAAATAGAAAACTTAAGGAAATAACAAGTTTTAACTTTTAAGTGTGTATGTTTTTAAATTCAAACTAGAATATTAAATTCTAGGAGATTTCTATAGTGGAAAAAAGAGGTACAGAACTGTACATGGTCCTCTTTATTGGGAATTTTGGCAAAAACAGGCTCTGTAATATTTAGTAGAGACAGGTAATACCCAATAGCCACTCTTCTCTTCTTCTTTAATTATAAAGTATTTCATTTTTAAATGAATACCTGGTTGCCCAAAATAAAATTTCCTAATCTTTCTTATAGGTATATGTGGCTATGTGAACAGACATCAGCAGAAGTGGTATGTGCAATGTTAGGATGTTCTGGTTTTTGTTTATTTTTTAATATAAATTCTTTTTCCATTTCCCCTTCCTGCTGCCTGGAATACAGATGTAATGGCTGAGCTCCAGAAGCCAAACTGGACCATGAGGTGACCTTGGGAATGGAAGCCATATACAACACACAGAGATCCTGGACTGATTGTACTTCTTCAACGTGACAGAGAAATAAACTTCCACCTTTGTTCAAAATACTGTTATTTTACATGCCATCTGCAGCCAAACCTAGTCTTAACTGATACCTGTTGAAAGCTCCCCTCTAAATTCTCACCAACTTAGTTTTTAGAAACATCAGCATGTTACAGAGTGAAAAGCACAGACTTCATAGTCAGAACATATGGATTCCAGTCCCTTCAGGCTCCAGGGCTCATTGCCATTAACTGTAACACAGAAATGACCGTGTGATGATACCTTCTCCCTGGGCTTGTTGGGTTGAGTGATGTCAGGTAAAGAATACGTGAGAAGGGGCTTGGTAAATTCTAAAGTATTACTTAGTTTTTATTATTTTATATATATTTTTATTTTATTTTTGTTTCTATTTCTAACAGGAGCAAAATGAATCATGAGCTTGTTGAGTGGAGGAGTTAACAGGGCCACCCCAAGATCAGGCAGAAAGTTTATAAGCCCAGCTCTCTTTAGCCCATCATTCATGCCAGTGATATTTAAAGGGATAAACTGATAAAAAAAAAAATTCTTCAAACATTGACCAGTTGTTGCTGTCCAGAGGATGTACTTAGCAGAGTGCCTATCCCATGGTAAGTACTAAATGTTACTTCTGCTGTTACTACTGCTCCCGTGATTAATGCAGTGGAGTGTACAGTCCCAGCATGGAGTCACCAGCTGCTTCTCCTACAGACAGACCTTTCTATGAATCCACATTAACATCCTCTGGCTTGAAATGAGAGCAAGGGGGATTACAGAATTTGGTTGTTTGATATCAAAACACTAAGAGAGCTCAATACATTCACAGCCTTACCAGTAGAACCACAATTCTCATAATTTGCAGTTGAAAACAGTGGACAGGAGACAGACTGCTGGTTGCCTTCTTTCACGGTTCATGTGTAAATTTATGATTTTACAATCAAAGGATAATCTTATGTGTCTTATTTGAAAGTTCTCAGTGACTATCTCACTACTGGTTCACTCCTAAAGTGTCTTTAATGTGCAGAGACGTGTTACAAGCAGTGCTTCTCACCCATCAGTGTGTATGTGTGCGTTTGGTGGGGAGGGTCACCTGTGGAGCTCGTTACGTTGCAGAATCTGACTCAGTAGGTCTTGGGTAGGACAGAGATTCTGCGTTTCAACATTTTGAGAAGGAAAGTTAAAAGTATTATAGCTAATTAAGTGATAAAGTTGGGATTTAAACCTGGGTCTGTCCAATTCTTAAGTCTCTCTCTCCCACAATGCTGAAGTGCAGAATCAGAATGCTGAAAAATAAATGAGAAACTGTGTTTAAGCCAAATGATTTGGGCTAACTATCATCTGCAATGTTAAAATGTAAAAGCACTATTTTCCCAGAGAAAAAAGAAGTACATTAAGCTGGAGAGAAAAAAAAAACCCACAATTTTTTTTTTTTTTGAGGAAAGGACGTGACAATCTAACAGGACAGAGATTAAAAATACAAAATAGAGTGAAACATCATGGGAATGGATGATAAATATTTACATTCTTAAAGAGAACAGAAAGAGCCACACTTGCCACATTTCCAAAATAATGACCCCAAATATTCACCCCAGGTCCCTGATCTCCCAAGTAGAACCAAGGGACAGCAACTAAGGATAACCTGACGAGAGAACACAGCTCCACAACCGACAGACAAAGCCTATACTCCAGCTCACCAGCGTTCCAGAACCCAGCCGGCTCTGCCAGCAACAGGGTGCAAAGCCAGAGCCACACCAGCCTCCCAAGACCAGCCGTGAGCACGAACCTGTGAGGGCTCCCTTCGTGAACAGCTTAGAAAATAGAAAATGGAGGATTCTGTCTCTATAGTCAGTCCTTACATTTTTGGATTGAACCAGTCTGGACTGTAACAGCCACAGAATCTTCCTCTTGATTCCACATTAAAGGCAATTTCAAAGCTCTGCAGAAAACCTACTCTCCGTGTGTTCTCTGTAAAACAATTTAAAAGCCCACTGTATTGGGTCAGGCCGTGGTGCATCCAGCGGTAATGTCTCTGTTGCTGGCACTGAATGAGGTTTCTAAAGAACATGCCATCCTCCTTGTCATTAACCACAGAAGTTTAGGAAGCACCGCAAACACATCTCCAGCCTCCTCTGATGTCCTGTTATCCACCATTCTACGCACACCTGAACCCCTCCTGAAGTGACTGAGGCCCTGGTTTCCTGTGTCTATTACCCGCCGTACAGAGTTGGAGGTCCTTTTACTAGTCCTGATCTGTTTCCAAAGGACTGTCTTTGTACTTATTCTGTCTTAACTTGTTTTGTTCATGTATCACTTTCTCTCTTAGAATCTAAGTTTCTACATTGTCTTATAATTATTGCTTAGGTAGCTTCTGTCTCACAGGAGTGTGACTTCTTGAAGGG